AGGAACCAGGTAAGGCATGCTGGTCTGGAGAGCAAAGCCTTGGGGGTCAAATGTGAAGAATGAATGAGTGAAATGTGGTATCTATGATGGGATGAGTGGGGCATGGGGACAATCAGTAAAAAATGAATGAACAGGGGCCAGCCGAGTGGCTCAGTTGGTTAAGAGCTTGCCCAAGAGTGCGAGCTCTGAGCAACAGAGTTGCCAGTTCAAATCCCACATGGGCCAGTGATGCTGTGACCCGAGCTGAGCTGCCGCTGAGCTGCCAACAGATGGCAGGATGGCTCAGTTGGTGAGAGCACGTGCTCCTAACAACAAGGCGGCCGGTGTGAATGGTGGGCTATGCCCTCCGACAACTAAAAGACTGAACTCAGCACCTTCAGCTGAGCTGCCACAGGGTGGCTCAGGGCATAGAGAGCACGCTCTTAACAAGACTGCCGGTTTGACTCCCACATGGGATGGTGGCTACGCCCACCTGCAGCTGATTGAACATGGCACCTTGAGCTGAGCAGCACGACTGGACCGGGAGCTGAGCTTGCTGCGCCCTCCACAACTAAGATTGAAGAACAACAACGTGGCTGTTCCCCTCCCCTAATTCCCCAACACTGTTCCCCTCCCTCAACTCCCCAATAAAATCTTAAAAACAAAACAAAACTGAATGAACGGCCCCTCTCCAAAAACTCTGTGAGATCCTGCTCTAGGACCCTCCTCAGAGTGTGACGACTTGATGAGGAGAGGGATACTCTGTCTTCACATGCAAGATGCCTCATGCCTTTGGCATTGGTGGTAATGGTTAGAGGGCTTGGCTCAGATGGCAGAGTCCTGAGACTGGCTGTACACGGGGCATTCAGGGAGGCAGCTATTTGCCCGGCAGACTAGGAGAGTTCACGAGCCCTTGGGAGGCCCTTCTGGGGGCTCTCTGAAATACCTGAATTGTCCTAACTCTTCCATGAGGAGGTAATTGTAAGGGCCAACGAAACTGGGTCCTTACTTTTCATGAGAGAGCTTCTGTTCCCACAGGCTGTAAGGGTCTGGGAAACTTGGGTTGTTTAATTTTCATAAATACTCAGAATAAAGTAACATGATTTCCCTTTGACAAATGTGGACACAGAGGTGAAGAGGGACCATGTGACTTATCGAAGGTCACAGCCCATAAACAGAAGAGCTGGGATTTGAACCCAGGCAACATGGCCCCGGAGCATGGGCTTTGTCTAATGCTGTCACTGCCTTCTTCTCATTGCTTTTTCACTACAAAATAGTGTCACAGAAAAGAATTTCCAATGGTCCTTATAGAGACCAAGGTCCATCTTCATCTCCTCCGAGCCCAGGAACCCTGGTGGGTCTGTGCTACCCACAGCCTGGCTGGTATGGGGTGGCTTTGCAGGTGGGCAGCCCAGCTGGCCTATCCAGCAGTCACTCGCCCCTGGGCAACTGGCCACGTGCCCCACCTTGTTGTACCCTGGGCTCTCTGGGCCTGGGGCTTTTGCTACACAGGGGGATCCCCCACCCCCACCCTCAGGACTGGCTGATTCCAGGAAGCAATAAGCTGCTGAGTGCTGTAGCCAGAGGAGCCCCCNTGAAGACTCCAGCTTGCAAATAGGAAGTCATAGACACTTGTCAGAATCCTGTTTGCTTTCACACACACTTATTTAGGTCTTTTTGTTGACAAATATTGTTTGAAGTTATTTTCAAATAATAACAATACTTCCAATCACTATATGAGTTAGGTAATAATACCCATTTATAGAAGAAGCTAAGAAATAGAAATAATGAAGCCAAGAGTTAAATTTAGGCAACCTGGTTCCAGGACCCATGCTTCCAATCCCTATGGACAGTCAGCTATGTTGGTGAGGTTTGAGCAGCTCTTGTGTTCCAGAAATTGGCTATGCTTCTTAGAGGACAGTCTGGAATTCAGGTTTAGCCTAATTCAGCCTACCCACCCTCTCCCCTAAAGCCAGTTTTCTGTTGGTAAGAAGAATGCCTCTGGTCTGGCTGCCCAGTGCCCAGAGGTCGGGCCCCAGGCATCACCCAGAGCCCAGGAACTGGGGAGGAGACTGGTACCAGAGGAAACTGGATGTGGCTGTTACTAGGGCATTCAGGCTGATCCCACTGTCCGCCAGAGCCAAGTTCAGCACCAGCAGACGGCTAGGGGTCCGCAGCTCCGGGTTCTTGCAGAAAGAGAGGATGGTCAAGCTATTGAGGCTGAGACCGATGAGAGCTGAAAGGAAGGTAGAGAGAGCTAAAGGCTGGCATCAGGGCTGGTGAGGCCCACCTGGGGTCAGAACCAGGGGTGTGGGGTGGACCGAGCCTCGGCAACCCGCCCCCCGCCCCATCTCTTCACACTCAGCAAGCCCCTCTGTGCAGTTCATCAAACACTGATGAAGTGGGCTGGCCCTCAGAGTGAAAGCTGTAAGGTTCACACACTGCCCTCTACCACTCGCAATCTAATGGGGAGACTGACAAGGAAGAAAGCCAATAAAGCACAACATGGTTCATGCTAGAACAACCATAATCACGGACAGCTGCTGAGCACTTATCGCGTGCAACATGGTGCTCAGCACTTTATGCGGATCCTTTCACTTAGTCTTCACCTGGATACTGTCCTCCCCATTTACAGTGGGGAAACTGAGGCATGGAGGTGCTAGCTAACTGGCCTTAAGTATGCAGCTGGGAAGTGGTGGAGATGGAAGTCTAACTTAAGTCTGTCAAATTCCAAATTGCCTTCTCGAAGAGCTGTGGAGCAATGTCAGGGAGGACCTCGGAGAGAGGAGGCTTCGTTAGAGCTGGGAGGTGCCCGGGACACCAGGCAGTGAGGTGAACTTGAAGGGGGTGGTCTCAGGTGGCAGAGAGCTCGAGAGACTTGGTTACAGTCACACAGGTGGCATAGCTGTCTGTCT